CGCCGGGTCTCGGGCACTGCGGGGGTCGGGGAGGAGGACCGGGCCACCCCAGGAGTAACTGATGCTCCTACCCCCTTCAGCCTCTCTGCCCCTCACTTCCTGTTTCCGTTGCCCTTCGCGCCCCCACCCGACCCGCCCCAAATTCCTGCGGCTCGCTCAGTTCTCCGCCCCGCTGGCAAAGAAGTCAGCCTCTCGATCTGATCCACAGACCCGAGGGCATCCCAGCCCACGCTTGGTATTTCTCTTTTCCCCTGGTCCCTAACACCTTCAATACCGACTGAGGGGCACCTCGAGCCCCAGCAAGTCTCGCAGACCTGGTGGCCTGGAGCTCACCCCCAGAGCCCTCTCGCCCTGCAGAAATAGACAACACCCACTTCACCCTTGTAGGAGCCTCTTTCTGTGCCCGCTCCCCGGAACCCCTGATCTTGGCTTCCCCTCCTCTCCAACCGCAGGTATCCAGCGGCTGGGGAGCTCCCGGGACGGTGGGTGGGGCGGGAGGAGAGGTGGGCGTTGCTCCTGAAGTTTCGAAGAGAGAGAGAAACAGATGCGGAGGAGTCGGGAAGGATGGAAGGATACCGAGGTGGAAGTTGATGCGTATGTAATGAACCCGGCTTCTCTTCTGGTTCCAGGCGCTGCCAGGAGCGTCAGCGCAGCCTCACGTTGCTCATTCCCTCGCAGCCTCTTCGGTCTCTGTTCCCCCGCCCTCTTGCTGAACTCTGGAACAGCCAGCGGCCCCTGGCCCCTGTATCTCCCTTCCTATGGCTCCTCTGTCCCTCCCCGGCTCCCCAGTCAACACCACCCCACCCTCCCCTTCTGTCCACTTCTCACATTTCGACCCCTGTCTCCTCTCTGCTGCCTCCATGACTGAACTTTGAAGATGTGCCTGTTTATTTGGGTGACATCATATGGGAGACCTAACAAACCGTTGCCCTAGGTAAGTCTCCTTCACCCACGCAGGAAGGAAAGAATAACTACCCTACTTGACCAGGTGTTCTCCCTCCCCAGTGCTGGGAGAAGGAGGTGTTGTGGGTTGGGGGTTAGTTCAGATTCTGTTGCACCGCTAGCTTCCCTGGGTTAGTTCCCCAAATCTTTCAGCCTCTCTCAATTAAGCCTGCCTATATAGATTAGGCAAAGCAAGAGATACAAAGTATACAAAAAAAGCAATGGACTATTTTGTTGAGGAACAACATACCTGCAGGAGGGTAACTAACAATGCAAAGGAGCAAGATAGAGAAAGAAAGGTTACTAGAGTCGGAGAGACCTGGGACGAAATCTTCACCCCGCCACTTAAACTGAGGGTCCTAACACATAAAACTCTGTAGGTGGGGCCATTGTGTTCTAACAAACCTTCCATGTGATTCTGATGTGCACCAAGGCAAAGAACCACTGCTGTAGGTGCTCCATGAGATGTTAGCTTTGTCCTTATAGGGTGAACGGCAAATGTCCCTAGAAGGGGCTCCGTACCTCTGGAGCAGGGGGATCACTGGGAGCCTGTAGGGTGGTTAGGAAGGGCCTCACAGGGGAGGTGGGACCAGGCCAGCCAGGATCAATGAGAAGGGAAGAAGAAAGTCTTGGGTGGGGGAAGGGGTGGGGGGTGAGGGGGGAAACCTCTCTCTCTCTCTCTCTCAATTTCTCTCCTCTCTCTCTCTCTCAATTTCTCTCTTTCTCTCTGTTACGCATCCACCTCCCCCCTTTTTCCTCGCCCAGGCTTCTCAGTCCCCAAACCGTGGCAGGTCGTGTGTCTGAGTGCAGAAAAACTTAGAACTCCTTCAGGTACAAGTGTCCCAAGGACGTCTTCTTCAGTGTGTGCCTTCCCCCCCAGTGTTGTCAAGCCCCAACACAAGCACTTTCTGTCCTGTTATCTCTACTTATTTCATGAAATTGTTTTCTTTATGTCCTCTTCTTGTGCTGGGAAGCTGCTTCTTGTGCTGGAAACGCTGGGAAGCGTCCCCTCCCCATGGTGCCTCTGGCCCCAGCCTGGCACTGAGGAGGGTGCTGTTATTATTTATTTGTCATTCACCTATTTATTTATTTATTTATTTTTATTATTTTTTTTATTTATTTATGTTCATTCATGAGAGAGAGTGTGCCAAACAGTGTGAGCGGGGAAGGGGCAGAGAGGGAGAGACACAGAAACTGACGCAGGCTCCAGCCTCTGAGCTATCAGCATGAGCTATTGATTCGAGGCTCAAACTCACGAACCGTGAGATCGTGACCTGAGCCGAAGTCTGACACTTGACTGAGCCACCCAGGCACCCCTACCATTCACCCTTTTAGAAGGTTCTGTTGGGGGAGTTGCTGCCTTGGGCAACACTTGCAGTAAGTTTATTGTTACCATTCACGTTAAAAGAAAAGGTAGACCTTAGTTCTTGGGTTAACTCCCCCCTAAGTATACCCTAAAGGGTATACTTCCCTTTAGAATTTGGCAGATTTCTCCCCATGATGTGTCAGAGAGGCTGATTATTGACACATAAAAGAAGCAAGGAAAGAACCTTTAGAGGCAAAAGGATCACTTGGGGGACTGCTGGTCAGTTTCACCTTTTCAGGAAGTGTGTACTGAGTCCACACCACCTGTCAGGGGCTGTTCTGGGACCTGGGTCTTACAAACAGGCATCCTATGATGTAGCCCCTGCCTTTGAAAAGTTTGACGTAGAGGTGTTCATGGCGAGCATGTCAATACTGAATCCACCTCTAGTCTGATCAGTTGTATCCGTTAAAATATGTCTCAAGTCTGTCCCTTCTTGTCCATCCTTCCACCTCCCTGTTCCAGCCACCATCTGGACCATCTGGCTCTCCTCTGAATCACGGCAATAGCTGGAGAGGCTGGGAATGGCCTTCGAGAATACAAGCCCGCATACCTGTTAGGCCTTTTTGAAATGCAAATCCGATTGTTTCGGGCACCCTGCTTAAACCCATTCAGTGCTTTCCCATTGATTTTAGGTTAAAGACACAAGTCCTTAACCTGGCCTCGAAGGCCCTGCCTACTGTGATCCTGCAGGCCTTTCCGGACTCCTCTCCCACCACATTTCCACTCAGTCTGAAGCCTCCACTTCCTGTCCGCTTTGCACTTCCTCCCGCAGACAGCCTTTGTGCAGGCTAGGCCCTCAGGCCTGAAAGGCTCTTCCTCCCATTTCTCTTTCAGCTAGCTCCTCTTCCTTCCTCAGATCTCAGCTCCTCTGCCAATCCTCAGGAAAACTACCCTGACCTTCCTTCCTGGGTCAAATCCCCC